TCGAGAGTCGGCGGCATGCCCTGCGATCCGATCCGGCTCCGGCGGCGCCGAGCGCTGATGGGACCTCGAGAATCGGCGGCGTGCCCTGCGGCAGGACCAGCCCCGGCGGTGTCGAGCGCTGATGGAGCCTCGAGAGTCAGCGGCGTGCCCTGTGGCAGGACCGGCCGGCGGGCCAGGGGTGACATGCCAGGAGCATGGCTCACATGTTGCCGCAGAGGCGCTGGCGAGCGAACTGACCGGCTGACTTTGTGCTGATGAAAACCATGCCTTTTCTCCCCAGAGAAATCTTGTAAACTCTCTTTACATCCGAGGCTCCGTTGTCTCTCTGTTGTTCTGGTCGCTCGTGAGCTCTCCTCGCTGATATGTGCGTGGCTGCTGTGGCGCGGGATGCTCCGTTAAACCCGGCGAGTTCGTTACCTGAGATGGCCGCAGCGGCGTCTGCGGCGCTCGTCACCAGCTGCTGTCGCGCAGCGCCTTACCCGTCAGCTCCGGTGATTCGCCGGCTCTGGTTGGCAAGTAGCGGCTCGGCTGGCTGCGGCTGCTCGGTGTGGCTCGGTCGGCCCGGCCGGCTCGTTATCCTCAGCGTCAGCACTCGTGGCGCCCCGGCTGCTCGGGGCGCCGGCTGCTGTTCATTTGCACGTGCCGTGCCGTGCCGCCGTTCCGGGAAGCCGGCTGCGGTGGCGGCCGTCCGCCTGCCCGCCGACCATTGCGGCAGGTCAGTGTCGAGCGGCAGCGACCGGGCGGGAGCGCTCCAGGGCTCCGAACGTAGCCCCTTTGGTGGAGTAAGGCCGGTTTCTCATTACAAGCGTCCAGCTACGTTTCGTAGCTGCCCACTGTTAGTCGTCCCTAGCTCCACTCCACAGCCGCTTGCTGCCAGCCTCCAGCTGCACAGTAGAGCCAGCTACACCATTGTCCAGCTGCACACTCTAATCAGCGCTGTCAGCGTGCCGCGGTCAAGCTAGCCAGGGTCAGTCTTCAAACGTCCACCGAAGCTGGCGGCCGCCAGTCCCGTCAGTCTCTGCCAGGCCGCCGCCAGTCCCGTGGTATTCCCCGTCAGTCTCTGGCAGGCCGCCGGTATTCAGGGATACTCCCCATCAGTCTCTGGCAGGCCGCCGGCACCCAGGAATACCCCCATCAGTCTCTGGCAGGCCGCCGGCATCCAGGAATACCCCCATCAGTCTCTGGCCCGCCGCCGGCATTCAGGAATACCCCCATCAGTCTCTGGCCCGCCGCCGGCATCCAGGGATACTCCCCATCAGTCTCTGGTAGGCCGCCGGCATTCACGGATACTCCCCATCAGTCTCTGGCAGGCCGCCGGCATCCAGGGATACTCCCCATCAGTCTCTGGTAGGCCGCCGGCATTCAGGGATACTCCCCATCAGTCTCTGGTATGCCGCCGTCATTCAGGACGTGCCCCCGTCGGGCTCAAGATGCCCAGTGCCCGCCCGCAGGCACCGGCCGGGGCGGGATGCGGCGCGGCAGCCGTCGCCGATGGCTGCGGACCGGCCCCACCCACTAATTAGTGGCGGCTTGTTTGCGGGCCTGGCCGGGCTTAGGCGCCGTCGGCCGGCCGGGGCGCTGGCGCCGCCGGCGCGGCCGAAACGGACGCGGCGCGGCTCGTCGCCCCCTCTCAGCCCTCTCATGATAATGCCCCTGCGGCCGCCGACCGCCCCAGCGCACTCCGGCACTGCCGGTGGACACCGGTGGACTCCGGTGACCTCGAAGGTGGATGCCCGGTCCGGCAGATGGCTGTGACTGCCGCAAAGGCTCTGGCTGTCTCGGATGAGTCGGTTGTCTGTGTGGAACTGCAGAGGCAGTGCCCGCTGTCACGCAAGGGTCCCACCGGCCGTGCAAATTAATTTTCTTCTCTTTGGTGCAGCATCGCCTTTCGGAACGTTCTGTTGGCAGTTTTGCATGGGAAAGCCTGCTGTCGTGTTCCGTGAAGAGCAAGGTCCGTTGTTGCGTGCCAGACTCCTCCCGGTAACTCCGTGCAGGGTCCCGACCGGAGCAGAAGAGCCACTCTCATCAAATCACCCGGCGGACAGATTGCGCGATCGCACCCGTGTTTTGCTTCTGACTTCTCCGAACTGTGAAGGTTTGGTGACTGGAGCTGATGGGCACGGCTGCAGATGTCCCAGCACCAACTGCGCACAGTTTTGTTTGTTCCAAAACGTGCATCGTAGTGTTCTGAGTATCGAAAAGAGCAGGTGTACTTTACATGACATGAATGTTGCAGTTGTATGCACGATACAGGTTTGTAGAAGCTGCAGGCATCAAAGCCACCATACATCAGTCGATGTACCGATACAGCAGCCCGCCACCCCGTCTCATCAGTGTTTTTGAGGTCAGAACGTTGGTCTGCCAATCGTAAGGTTGTAGACCCGAGATTTGAAAATGCTGGAAGCCTTCAAGTCTGAGGGGGAGCACATCTACATGTAACCATACTCGGGTCCTCCCAGAAACAAGCTACAATAATTATTTGATATGCTCATTTCTTTCGGAATAATTCCTGGGCATGATTAGCACAAGTTGTTTTATTGTGATCGCTGCTGTATTCCATATGGCATTCTATGGCAAGTAGCCCAAAATGATTGCATTGACTCAAACAGGTATGAGTAGATGCTGTCATAGCTTATCTCGTAGTCCTGTATCTTCGCTTGTTTGCACTTCCATTTTATCGCTGCTCTCGTATCAGCTTGCCGTTCTGCATCGCTCGATACGGCGGCTGCGCGCCACGACTTCCGTCATTGCGAAGCACGCCCTCCATACTTTTTCCACCAGATAGCCTGGCCCTGAATCAGGGTGTCGCCGGTGTTTGGTGGTCACGTGTGCGGCGCCGGGGCCACCTCAGTGGGCCAGCGCTGCTCCTGTCGACATTCGAACGCTTGTTTGTGCCGGCTGCACGTGAAAAAGGCGGCGGCCCGGTGTCACGGGGCTGAAGCGGAGCGCGGGGTTGAGTTTCGCGCGGGAGCCGCCTGCAGGTCACTGAACCGGCGCAGCGAAGTGGCCGCGGTCCGCGACCCTGCGCCGCCGCACCCCGCCCGACGCCTGGAGCTGCGCCGTCCCCCGCTCCGCACCTGTTCCAGCTTGCCCGCTGTCTGCACCACCTTACTCTTTAATCCCTTGCAACCCGAACAGCTCATCTTGAACCCAGAGTGGTGCTGTCCCGCACCCGAAACTATCCAGTTCCACACCCGGAGCTATCTAGTCCCGCACCCAGAACTATCCAGTCCCGCACCCGGAGCCATCCAGTCCCGCACCCGGAGCCATCCAGTCCCGTACCCGGAACTATCCAGTCCCGCACCCGGAGCTATCCAGTCCCACACCCGGAACTATCCAGTCCCGCACCCGGAGCTACCTTGTCCCGCTCCCCGAGCTGTCCCATCCCACACACAACAGCTATATCGTCCTGAGCCCCGTAGTGTCCCAGTCCACGCTGCAGCTGGATGGACACCGCTCCTCTCCACCGACTCAATCAGCAGAGGCGTGGAGGCCGCTGTCGGGGCCCGCCAGAGGCCGGGCCTCGGCTCCCACATCAGCTGCGGCCGGCCGCACACTGTCCGCAGCTGGGAGCGCGGCCAGTGCGCGTGCGCCGCTCGCAGCCAGTAATGCGCCGGCCGTCAGCGCCGTCCGCTAATGTCAAACACGTGTCGGTCGGCGGCCGGCCGCTGGCCCTGTCACTGCGGCTCGCCCTCAGAGGGCGCCGCGCCGTCGGACCTGGTGCGGGCCTGAGATCACGGCCGGCAGCGGCTGCCGCTGTTGGACTGCGTGTTCGGCGGGCTGACCGGGCCGGCCGGGAGCGGCTGCCGCTGCTTCAGGGCTGATCGGCGGGCTCACTGGGCCCGCTGAATCAGGGGGCGAGGTCGATGGCGCGAACGTGCAGCCGGTTCTCGCGCAGATAGTGGAGTGCGCTCGCCTCGCTTTTAGAGGCGGGGGCTGTTATGCCGGCTCTCGCGCGTTTTTTTGAAACAGCTCTCCTGCGTAAGGCGTGCAGAACTTTCATTTTCCATTAGTGTTTGCAGTGTCGAGTGGGCGGGTTCAAACGAGTGCGAGTATGAGTGATGCAACATTCACTTGCAACGACCTGCAATGTCGCAATATCAGAAATTTTGATGGTGGCGTGCAGTACTGGCTTGCCATTTTCGCTTTCATTCAGTTATTGTTTTAAAATGCGCGCCAAGTACGTCGACGAGAACAATGAGAACCATGCTTACACGCATCATGTATGAACTCTTGTTTTTTGCTTCGATTTCGATTTGCCTGTGCTTTGTCCTTACCACGTGAATTCTCTCTCCCGCGTCAACTCTTTTACTAGGCGGCTTTCCCAAAGTAAAGGAATTGTCCTGGTTGAAGCGGTTTCGCCTCCATTGAATCAGCTGAATTTTGAAATGATTCGACAAATGTCGAATTCGGCAAAAGCCTGAAACGGCAGGTTATGTAACGGGAATGGAGTTACCGACAACGACGCCCGAAAAGAAAACAATCACGCACTCGAGACGCGACTCACAGAATTGTCACCGGTAGCACGAACAGACCTGCCCATTGATACGCCACGTGTGGTTTGAATAAGCCCTCCGTCCGTTACTTGTCGCTGTGTAACGCTGTCAATTAATCCATCCGTGCTTGTGATACAGCATTTGTAACGGAAATAAAGATGTTTGTCACTGTAGATGTCATGTGGCTTATCATGTCTGTGGCTTTTTAGCGCGTGCCGTCGGTCGCTGCCGGCTCCCCGGCCGCGACGCCACCGCCACCCTGCCCTCACAACAAGCCCACCAATCGGTCGGACCGCGTCGCGGCGCACGCGGCAATTACAGCATCACAAACACCTCCGAACATGTGATCGGCCGGCTTTATCCGCCCGTCGGAATGCGGCGATGGCAGCCCGAGAGGGGGGCAGGGGAGGGGGGGGGGAAGGGGGAACGCTGTCGCTCCTACGGAGATGGCGGCTGATGGCGCCGCCGCTCAGCGACTGAGAGGTGCCCTTTGCCGTGTTTCAGATGGCGGGGAGCCTACCGTGCCTGTGGCTAGCGCTGGCCTGCGCGCTGTTGCCCGCCGCCGCCGAGCCGCCTGCGCGCCAGGTGAGTGCCGCAGATGCGGCTGATACGCCGCGCCGCTGTAAATCATGCCCGCGCACAGGTGGGCGGCCGCGCGGCGCGCCACCCTCGCCGCACCGCCCCGATCATTATCTGGCGCGCTCAGGTTTTCGGGACGGCGCGCCGAGGTCCCCGGCACTGGCATAATTCCTCCGGTAAGTAGGAGAGGCGGCGGTATTGTAGGAGAGGCGGCGGTGCTGTAGGAGAGACGGCGGTATTATGGGAGAGGCGGCAGCGTTGGGGCGCACCGTACAAGCATGCGACGGATGCTCACACCGGCTCGGCAGGCTTAGACATAGACCCGCGGTGGAGACGTACAGCAGTGCAATGGGGTTGGGTTTAATGCTTTTTGTCGTCTAATCGGTGACCCATCTCCTCGGGTGGCAGCGCATGTACCGTGTTGTTACAGCAATCACGCGACCACCACAAACAAAGGCTCCGGGCAGGGGAGCAGATTCTGTGCTGGTGCTCACCATAGTCTAGAGAACTCTTCTTGAGAGAGCCTCTTGACGGATAAGAATAACCGTCCGCTCTGCCTTGTGTTGTCAGTGCCAGGATTAAATCGCGCAACAATGTCAAAGTTACTACAGTATAACGCGATAATAGAACTGACTTGTGTTCAGCGTGCGCGCTGCGCTGGTTTGAGGCTGTTAAATGAAAGCTGGTCTGACAGAGCCAAGAGAATCATGTCGCCGAGGAGCTCCTCAACGCCATGTTGAAGCTGCTCTTGGCACGACGCCAGCGTCGATGCGTCTGTTATATACCACTCCAAGTGGGCTCGGACGGCGATGGCGGGGCTTTTTATCACTTCATAACGGCTCCAGCGGCGCCTCGGTTCTCAAGTGGGGCTCTGCACTCGCATTATTGGAGCTCCAGTGGTGGTCACTCACCATGGGCCGGCACTGAGCTGCCGGCGTGGGTTATGGCCCACTGACAATGCCACCGGCAATGGGCCATTACCTGCAGTCTGTGCATATTCTGCGGAAATTTCAGATGGCATACCTGACAGACATCCCTGTGCTGAGTAAGGGCTTCACTGGTAACGGTGTGGTGCTGCGCTGAGCCATACAGCATTTCTGTCCAGACGCTGGCGGCCATGGGCTTTTGCCGGGTCGTCGGTGAAGGCCGTTTGGGTTTGGCAAGGATTCCGCGTTCTCGCAGAAGCGGGACGGAACGGAATGATTTAGGTGAGAAGCACGGGGGCTCGGCGCCGACGAGCGGCTGCCCGCTCTTTTATGGGACTGAAATATGTCTTCGCTAGAATTCCGCGAGTGGAGCTGAGTTTGATAAAGTGGGAAACGGCACAATAGTGATAGATATGAATATGCGGCTTTAATGGACCATGCAGAATGTTTATCTGAATGGCTAAGGACGGAACTGGGACGCGTATCAATCGTGTATTATCGTACTGTATTATGGACCTCTTTGTGGGCGACTGGGCCTTGTCAGCTAAAGCATCTAAATTGTCTTCAAGCTGCCGCAATCTCTTGCACTGCGTCCTCCCCACTCAGCTGGGCAGCAATCAACTGCCGCTATAGCTGGAATCAGAAGCCGCTTTCAGTCGATGTCCCGATGGGACCAGACGTGATATCAGCCGTAAAGTGGCAAAGTTTGCCCTACTGACTTCCGGCGTCCACCAGAGCCTTCCACTTCTCACCCCCACGAGACAGAGGTCACTGACCGCTCGCGCCGCCCTTCTCAGACAGAGCCGCAGTCTCCGGGGAGATGGTCAGTCCCGTCCGTGTCTGCTCGTGCTCGGCTGGCCTGCGCCGCTGGACGGCCCGAGGTGCTGTGACAGTGTGGAGCCGCTGAGCGCGCGCCGGCCGGGCATCGGCCGTCCCGCCCCGGCCCGATCCGTCTGCCCTCCCCGCCCCATCGGCCAGCGGCGCTGCTCACCGCCGCGCCTGCAGCGTTGTGCAATGCACTGCCGTTTTTAGGATTTGTTTCGCATCACCAGTCGGACCAGGCGTAAAGTCGTGCCTAGCGCCGGTCAGAGATGATGATCTACAGTGTGAGCAAATTGTCGACGTCGCTTGCTGCCATGCTCCCCATATTGTCACCGACTTCAACTGCGGTCCTCCAAGTAAGGCTGAAGTGGTCCAGCTTGTTGCACGGCATACTGTAACTCCAAATCGCACACAGTTGCAACTTGGTTAGCCGCTCACCTCAGTTCATAGACTTTCGGCAATATGGAGGCTTCTGAGCAGAACGCCTGGCTGAACACCTGGCGGCAGGCGTTCAGTGGAACCGGAGCTCGATACGAGGCGTCAGAGTCGACAGAGGCGTCTCGACAGATACGAGTCGACAGAGGCGTCTCGTAATAGACCCTGACAGAGTTGTGACGAACGGGCGAGCGCTTGCAGGTCCCTCGGCGCGATGCTGGTAGTCTGGAACGCATCGTCAAAACGGGCTTTGTCCTGTCGGATTTCGTCATATCGGATTTCGTTTTGGGAAAACGGTGGGAAAGAATATTTTGTAGGAGTTCACTTGTGTTTCTTAATGACCTTTTACGGCAGTAAGGATCACTTGGCTCTATCCCCTTCTCTCGTTAAAGCAGAGGTGCTGTTTTGAAAAATAAGGGGGCTGAGCAGTAAAAAGTGACTAACCTTCCCAGAAAATAAGCCAGAGGAGGTTCAGAGGTTCAAGAAAAAGAGGTTCATCCCCGAATTTTACCCGATTTTTTCTCAAGCTGGATGGGAGCTCCAGCCCCCTACCCCACCCAAAAAGGTACCCCTGGTCACCGATCTTGCATGCGCGAAGTGCTATAAAGTTGCATCTTCTTTTTAAGTGGCATTGTACAATGTAAGAAATACTTATTGACGAATGCATCAACGTCAACAGCAACCATTCAAGGAGAGCAAAACGACAAACGAAGGCAGCATATGATTATTTATGCATAAAGTACGCGTATAGATGTTTCAGCTGTGCACAGATCAGCCCTATGAAACCCAACCCAGCCCACGTCTCACACCAACGCATTCCAGCCAGACACAACCGAACGTAATTCTGTTAATCGCTTTACCTTTAATAGGAGTGTCCGATCTTTGGAGAATATTAAAAACACCCTCTTTGGAAACCTAAGGACCATTTACGTTGAATCACAGCACTGGGTAGTACCACGGTAGCATCATCAAGATATAATATGAAGAATCATTTTGATTAATTTGTATATGAGTCGTGCACATCAACTTACACTCTTTGTTTCCCACGCTATCCACATTCATTAACGTCTAAAGCTACGCAACGTCGATCCTACGTCGGGTTCTGAAACCCGGTGACCTGGTGGTGACCTGGTGGTGACCATCGAGGCTCAAGAAAGTGACAATGACGCTCAATTACAACTTCTCCCGCCGAGATAGAGTTACGAAACGTATTTGAGAAGGAGTGTAGTTTCCTATTCAGACTTCTTTGGAGGAAAGTAGGTCAAATCCGGAGAAAAGCTTGTCTTTAGTGTATTTTAGGGGCAGTTTAAGCCATTTCCCTCGCTCAGTATTCCAAACCTGCTTTGCGAAACTACGCCCCTGTGGTGAAGGCTTTACGACCATCACACGCGAGGGATTCACCACCACAGTACCTCACCGCTCAGCCCACAACACCGCTCCAAAGTGGGAAACGTCTGAGTTAAGAGGCAGGTGGATCAAAATCGCTGTGAGATAATTGGCAGCTTACAACAGCCACGCATGGCACCACAAGCTTCAAGGATTTCGACTGTGTTGAAGACAAATTGAAAAACTGAATCGGGTTCTCGCACTGCACGTTGCACAAAATAATGATGCTGAATAAACAAATTGCTGTCTACCGGACTGAGCTTCGGATTTAAGAACTGTCATGTGTCTAGCACGTGAACCTGAAAAGCTTTTGTGGGGATCAGATCCATAAAATATGGTATAAAGATAGGTTGTCTAAAATTTTAGAAATGCTTGCATACCAGAACGTGCATCATCGAAGCAACAGTGACAATAAAGCATTGAGCAAACCAATAACAAGCTTTTCCGTGCCCGAAAAAAGGCAAGGATCTCATAAGTGTTTAATAGAGTGCATCGAAATGGTGTAAAACATGACGAAGGATCAGCCTATGTTTGGCCAAGGACATCAACCTTTTGCGGAATCAACTAGCGAAACAAATTCCATACCAGTGTTTTGAGCCCGCGCGCCCGCAATCTTAGGAGCAGAACACCAATGGACTGGGGTTGCAGTTTCCGTAAAACCGAACGGTGTTGGTCGCTGCAGATAAACACCAGGTGCCAGCCACCACGGGCTCACGGGAACGACCGTCGTGAAATCATCCTTTCGAAATTCGTTCAAAGTTAATTTGTATTGTACAAAGATAAGGCTTGGCTGTATATTTCACCTGTAAATCTCTTGGGATGGCCTCTGAACAGCTTAACGGTGACAGCAATACGGGAAGCGTAGATTTTACCTTTACTTTTCCAGTTCCGCCGCCAGGCTCCAACACCATTTGATCGCGCTGTAAATGTTAATTCGCTCCTATTGTCAGTCTTAATGTCGCACAGATGAAACATTCACCCGGACTGCCTTCTAAGCGTTTTCATAGATGTTTAAACATTCAAGTGCACCTTTCATAGGAACGTTATGGGTTTTGCTCGCCTGTTGGCTACCATTTAGCGTACGCCAGAGACCGACGCCGCACGAACCTCGGAGACTGCAACGCCGGGCGTCGGGTTCATTCCAAGAATTGTAACCGCGCATGCTCATTACTATCTTATCAATTTTTCCACTATTAAGTTCTGAATGAAGGTTGAGCATTGCCGGACGGATGTGGTTTGACATTGTCAGTACACATTTCCGGGCCCGTTTCGACCTACAATCGACGCTCGCGAAGCCATGAATACCCCAGCTGGCGCCGCTGACGCCGCGCCGCGTCAGAAAGACTTGGCTGTCCTTGCCGCAGCGGCCAGCAGCGGCAAGCGAGACCTACGCGCGGGGGAGGAACTGAGGACGGAGCCCGCTTGATCCGGCATGTG